CACAGGGCACTCTGGGTGGATCACTCCTCTTCTTATCCCCGCCTCCTCACACCTGCCCAGGAGGCCCTGCCCTGCTCTCTGCCCACATCTCGGGCAGGGAGGACGTGCCCGGGTAGGCTGGGGGCGAGTCTGCCGGCCGGCCTCCATCTGCAGACCTGCATCGTCGCCAGGTTTGTACTGTCATTCAGGAAGTCGAAGAGCTGGGGTCCCAGCGTACCCCACACCTCCTGGACGTCCTTCAGCAGAGCCAGCTCCTGGAAGGTCCGGTTCACCTGGGGAGGGGCACCAAGAGAAACGCCAGGCCAGCCCTTCTGGGACTCTCACCTCCTCCGAGGACCTACCCCCTCCCCCGCTGCTTCCTTTGTCTCCACTGCACCTCTGACCCCCAGCCCACACTGTCCTTCTCCCTGCCACCTGGCAGACTCTTGTTCAAAACCCTGCTTCCACAGCCCACCTCAGGGAGCCTCGGGGGTAGGGCCCTCCCTCTGGCCTGGCCCATGCTCCCTGGGCTGAGGGAGGGGCTCAGGACCCCTCTTGCCCTTACCTGGGCCATGAGCTGCCTGGTGAAGGCAGTGTTGGGTGTAAACAGCACTTTCCCCAGGACCAGCGGCTTCAGATGCCTCCAGAGCAGGCGGGACAGTGGGTGAGATTCCAGGGACCCCACGAGCTCAGCACAAGCAGGGCCTGGGGCAGGGGCACCATGAGGCCCGGCCTCCACTCCCAATGCCCCACTTCCCAGATTGGGAGCAGAGGTCGGTCACTCACTCAGGCCGTGGTCGGGCTGGGCTGCTGCTGGCTCCTGCCCCACCAACTCCTTCAGGTGGCTGGCCTCGTACCAGTTGAGGGAGGGCCCCCCGGGGATGCTAGGCCCCCGGGCACTGCAGAGGGCCTCTGACATAGCCTCCAGGGGCCCACCTGCTCCTTGGGGTCTCCGCAGCAGTGCCCGGAGCTCCACCAGGCTGGGCAGTGCCAGGAGCTAGAGAGAGGTCACCAGATGATGCTGGTAGCCAGTCATGAGCCTAACCAGGGCAAGGCACCCTGCCAGGAGCACCTCCCTCTCTCCTCTGCCCAAGCTCCCCAAAAACCTACCCAAGGGAAGCGCCGGGCTGCCCTGTCACCTCCCCAGCCTGGCAGCCTACCCTTCCAGTTTGCGGGCTGGGGCACAGGATGAGGGGCCTCTTACCTCCTGGGCCACGTCCTCTGCTGCCTCCACAAAGCTGCTCACGGACTCCTGGGCGTGGTCCAGCACGGACCCCAGGGACCCCTGGGGAGAAAGACAGCAAGCAGAGTGACACTGGCCTTGACGGAGTTCTCACTAGGTGTCGAGCACTTTGCCATGCTCTTAGACCCCGTTTTACAAACAGGGAAGTGGAGGCAAGGCACGCGGACTCGTTTCAGGGCTCGCTGGCCGGACCCGTGCCAGCTGGACACAGCCTATCTGGGCGCTAACAGGATGAGGAATGTCACTCCAGGTGCCAGGGACAGCCCAGGCACTGGCCTGGAAGCTGGAATCAGAGGCCCCTGCTCCACGATGGGGAAGTCCTGGGACTTTCTGAGGGCAGCATCCCAGAGTCAGCCTGGTGTCACACCACCGCATCTCACCTCTCCAAGCGGTGTCCCCAGTAGCTCAGTGGTCAGGGACAGGAGGTCCTGCAGTCGGTCGCTTGGCTGACGCTGGGCTGGGGGAAGAGCACACAGAAGCGTGAGCTTAGGCAAAGCCTGGCCGGAGGCAGCCCCGCGCTGCCCATTACACAACTGGACAGATGGAGGCTCAGAACGCACCCCTGCCAGACAGAGGCCCGGCCTCACCTGTTGTGCCCGCAGCTCTCAGCATCGGCATCAGCTTTCCCAGGCTGGCCAGCATTCTGTGGGCACTGGGGCCCCCCAGGACAGTGCGGGCATCTGCCAGGAGCCGGGAGACCCTGGGGACAGAGGGAGCAGGAGGTGGGGTCTCAGCAGACACCCCCATGCCCAGGGCCACCGCACCCACTGCCGCCAGCTCACAGGGAGTCCTGGAAGTTGCTGAGGACGCGCGGCTGCTCAGCAGGCGTGGGCTGCGGGAAGCAGGTGTTGTTCAGGTTGCAGATGAGACCCTGGAGCCAAGGAACGGTGCCGGCCGAGGGCAGCGGCTTGTTGGGGAAATGGCCTGTGGGGATGCCGGGCATGGGGGTCTGGCCGGAGTCCCCACCATGTCCACAGCCTCCCCAACAGCACGCTTACTCACACTTTTACTGGGTGCCCAGTCTGTGCTCTCTGACCCCTACTGGGGCCCCTGTGGATGGGGGGCCCATTGCCTACCTCCACCCCCTTCAAAAAAGAGCCTGGTCCTTGGGGGACTTACATTCATGGCGCTCAAGTGGGGGGGTGGGAGTGGCGGACGGCCACCAGGATGAAGAAGAGAAAGAGAGGCCACAGCAACTCCACCAAGAGCTGGACCTGGGGGAGGGGCAGAAGAGGTGGGGGAGTGAGGGACAGCGGGGGGCACCGCGGCCACTCCGCCCTGGCCCATCAGTCCTGGCATTACCGGCTGTCTCCTGCGGTACAGGAAATTCTTCCAAAGCAGCAGCATGAGCTGCGTCCCGAAGGCCATGGTGGGAATGGACAGAGCCCACGACGGAGCGCCCGCCTGAGGACGTGCGGTGTGGCTGCGAGCAAATCCCGGCCCTTTCTACCCCCGACTCCTCCACCCCATGGCGCGGGCTCCTGGAGGCTCTGCTGGGAGCCAAGCCGCAGGCAAGTATTAAAGGGTCTCTTCTGTCCCTGGGGGCGGAGTGAGCCAATGGGAGCCCTGCCCGAAGCCGTCCTCGCACCTGATTGGGTGTCTGGGCTGTCGCTCCCTGCAGGGCGGGCGTCCAAAAGGCGATCAACTAATTCTTCAGGGGGAGGAGCTTCGGCTCAACTCCGCAGTCGCCAGGCTCCACCCGAGGTCCCTGGCCCCCGGCCTCATCCCGAGCCCTGCGAAGGACCCCCCACCCCCGGCTCTTCCCGGGTGACACGTGCTGAACCTTTCACACGCCCGGCGGGGAGCAGGGCCTGCTCCGCCCCGCAGAGAGACAAGCAGAGTCACCCCGCGGGAGGCAGGGCTCCCCTCTACGCGCCCCTCACGTGGGGTTCCCCGCCGAGAAGAACCCCAGGATCCCCAAGATGAGTAAGGAGAAGAGACAGGGATGCGGGCTCCTGGAGCTAGCAATTCCTGACGCCCACCTTGGCTACGACTGTCCAGCTCTGGCCGGCCCCACCGTTGTACCGAAGACAAACCGAGGCGGGGACGGGCCCCAGGCCACGGACGAGGCCGGAACTCGCACCCAGGACCCCCGGCCCGCCACTGCGGGCTCTGCTGTCCATCAGGTGGGAGCTGGGACGCAGGGCAAGTGGGAGCTCTAACGGGCAGAGGGGCCGCAGGTGCATGTCGCCAAGCCCCTGTCAGGGGAGGCTCCTGCCCAGTCTCCTCCCAGCAATGAGCGGTCCGTTCCCGCGCCCTCCACTCTCGGGGCGCGGAGCCTGCGCTCCGCCCCCAGCCCCTCATTCCCGGGAACCTGCTCCCCTCCCACCCACCCCCGCCTCCCGGCATCCTCGAGACTCTCTCCCCGGGACCCTCTCACCTTTCCAGCCCCCACCTCTTGCCGCCTTCCCTCTGCCCGCAGTGGGTCCTGAGCCCGCGGCGGTGACCGCGCTCACCTGGGAGGCCCGGCGCCGCAGGAGTCCCCTGCTATTGGCTACCGCCCCCGCCACTCACAGGCCGGGCCTGCGGGAGCCACGGGCACCGTGGGAGGAGGCCGCGCGGAGCCGGGTTTCTTAAAGGGACCGCTAGCCTCTTGCTGCGTCACCGTGGGGCGCTGGGCGGTCGGCTCACCCCACGCGGGTCGACCTCCGGACACGCGGGACAGGCTGCCTCCCCACATTGAGTACCCGCCTGCAGTGCCGCGGGTCCCTGAGGAAGGAGGTCCCTTTCTCCCCAGTATCCCCTGGGGGACACGGATCCTGGTCAGGCTCGCTTGATTACCCTGGGACTCCCATTTGTCCGTCCGCAAAGTGGGGGTTCTATTGGTCATCATTTGTTCATCCCCCAAATAGTCCTTCGGTCCTGCAGTGGGCCAGGCCATGGCAGGAGGGGGAGGGGGCCCCAATATTCCAAGATTAGACTCCTGGGTCATAACGGTCACATCATTTTGAGGAATACCTCTGGGTCCGTTCCAGAAAAGTGACATTTCCCGAGCTTGTGGCGAAGAGGATACAAGTGTAGGGACCCACAGCCCTGAGGGGAGCTGGAGGGCGGGGGTTGGTATTGGGGCTTGGGGGATGAATAGGAGTTTGCCAGCCCAGGAACTCCAGGCCAGGAGGCTGGACACCAGAGCTGCCTGTGGGGCTGGGAGATCCTTTCCAAGCGGCAGGGAGTTCCAGCCTCTTTCCCCCACCCGGGTCCTGGCCCTCAGGCTCCTTCTTCATCCCACATTGCTTTCACCCTCACTCCCCTGCCAGCCCCGGGCCTCTGCTCCTCCAAGGCCGCTGAGAGGACCCGCTAGAGGCTGGCCTGCTGCCCCACCCCAGGGCCCCAGGGCCCCACACCGGGATCCAAGCCAAACCCCCCTCCCCAGCAGATCCCAGCTCCACCAGCAGTTTCTTCCTAAAAAGAGGTTTTTATTGCCTTTGGTCCGCAGTCAACATTTCACATTATCTCTTGGTCCCAGGGCTCCTGGACGGGGGCCAGTCCCTGGGTAGGACCTCCAGGTGGGGATCCTAGTGCAGAGAACTTGTCCTCTTCCCTTGGTAGAGGAATGCAGATAAGTATGGGAAGGTGGGGGTGGGGGGTGGCTCTGCCTTTTCCACCGAGAACTCTGTTGTCCTGGCTGGGCCTCAGTTTCCCTACTAGCCCTTGGGACAAGCCACAAGTGAGTCTGAGAGGGCTAGAGAAATCCAGTTCCCACAAGACCTCAAATATTTTGGACTCTGGCCTGGCCCTCTCTCGTAGGGGGCCGCCTTCCTTCCCAGCACCCCCTTCCGCCATCCTCCCACCACTGCTCCTCAAAAAAAAAAGAAGAAAAATTTCTTTCATTAAAACTGCCTGAAACTTCTGTGGGTACAGAAACCACAAACTGATCAGAAGAGAAAAGGGAAGAAAAGGAGAGGCAACCGGAAACCATTCAGGGCTGGTCCCCTCCCCGCCCCGGTGTCTTCCTCAAACCCCCACGGCTCAAGCCCAAAGCCTGCTGGGAAATCTGCGGTGGCTGGAGCCCTCCCACCGCGCAGGTCTGCCCCTGCTTCACCCCTTCCCCATAAGCTCTCAGCCGGCAGCGCTCAGACAAGGAGAAAAACAAGACAAGCACAGAAGAACCCCAAAACCACATGCAGCCATGTGTGGAGACGCCCGCACGGGCGCCTCAGTAACCAGCCTCCTCCTGGGGGCAGTAGGGGACGCACTCTGGGGCCTCCCCTGGGCCAGGGCAGTCGCCCACACTGCCCTCGGCTGCGGGGCCTTGAGGGCAGTACTTGGGGTCACAGATCTGGCGCCCCAAGCCAAAGACCTGGCCGCTCTGGTTGGCACCCTTCGTGTGGCCCATCTGCAGAGACACGGAGGAGTTGTCACACTTGTCGGTCCCCAGCTTGGTGTCGTAGATGTGCCGCCGGGTCCCCGGAGCTGTCATGCCCACCTGGACAGGAGGAGAGTGCTTCAGGGCTGGAGAACGGTGGGGGAGGGAGGCCCAGCAGCACTGGCCCCCGCCCCCCCACCATCCCCAGCTGTCAATGCCTGACCAGGTCCCTCCCCGCCCTGCGGGGACGCCCTCTCTCTTGTGCCCCTGTGCCAAGCTGATCCCCACCACTAGCCACCCCCTCCCTGGAAACCCCCTGGCGTCTGCGTCCGGCTCTCCCTGCCGGCAGGAAGCTCCTCAGGTTGGGGCCGAGGTCCCCCAAGTACCCGAGAGTTCCGAGACCATTGTACGGATACGGGCAACATGCAAGAGGAGAGCGCATCCCGGGAGCCAAAGCCACCAGTGTTGGACCGGCCCCTGGGTGCTCCTCTGAGGGAAAATGGGGCCCTGGGCCCAGCAGCAGCTTCCCCGGGGACAGGTAACAAGCGGGGGCAGGGACAGAGAAGGGACAGGCGAAGCGGCAGGAGAGTGACCCAGGGTGGGCTCCTCTGTGGGGGGCAGCCACGTCCATGGGGCAAGGAGGAGACCATGGGGTGGCGGCCGGGGGTCCGGCGGGAGCCCCACCTGGCTGGCACACTTGTTGGTGCCCATCTGGAGACTGATGGTCGAGTGGTCCATGGGGGGCAGGATGTGGTTCTTGGGGTCGTACAGATGCCTTCTTGTGCCGTAGGCCGTCATGCCCGACTGGCTGGCACACTTGTTGGTGCCCATCTGCAGGGAGGGAGGCAGGAGTGGTGAGGCCACCCCTGCCCCCCAGGCCTCTACATCCTGCCCTGAACCTGAGGGGGCCCAGGGCTGGACAGGGCTTGGGTCCCAGCGGCAGCCCCCCCACCCCCCAACGTGGTGGGCACAGGGCCGGAGGCAGGGGGAGCCCACCTGGAGCCCGATGACACACTGGCCCGCCTTCATGGTGGCGTCGTCGAAGTTGCGCTCCTGCTTCTCTGAGTATTTGACGCCAATGTCCACGCCACTCTGTAGCCCCTTTGTCTTGGCCTGGAAGGGAGGGGTGCTGGGAGGGTCACAGAGGGGCCACCGGGACCCTCGAGCCCGGCCCAGACCAGCGCAACCATGGGGATCCGGCTCCAACCCCCCCTGCCACCAGGGGACAGCTCAGCTCAGAACAGGAGTTCTGGAAGGTGTCGTCACCAGCCACCCTGGGCCTCCTCCCATCACCTCCTGCTACCCAAGCTTCCAGAAACCCACCTGCTCGCCCACACCTGCCCCTGCCCCTCGCCCCTCCCTGGTCTCTCTGCTCCACTCCCCACATGGCGGCCCCAGGGTGCTCAGGAAATGCCTCCTGGCTTGCAATTCCCTCCTCCTGAAATGCTGTTCCAGGCCTCCCAGGTCACTAGACCCCACACCTGGGTCCAAGGCCCCCTTCTTCAGGCTGCTTCTCACAGTTCAGAACTTTTTTATCATCTACAAAAAAGTGAAGATCGAGCCCTCGTGTCCACTCAGGCCTCCAGGGGATGGGTGTGCGTCTGCTGCAGCTTGCAGCTTCCCACAAACAGGCCGCTCTGGCACGGGATGCTGGTCTTGGGGAGGCTGCCCCGTTCGGCCCTGAACCCCAAGTGCCTGGAGCCTCGGGCGGGACTGAATCCAGGGCGTCTCTTAACCCCCGTGGACCGCAGCGCGGGGCGCCAGGAGGGTCGCTGCCTCCCTCTGGGCCTCACCTTCCCGGCCAGGGCGAGAAGAGACACCTGCACCTGCGTCATGTTCCCGCTCTCGAACAGGTCGTTGGCCTCAAACAAGTCCACGGGGTTCATGCCGTAGCTGACCATGGCCTTGATGAAGGTGGACAGGTTTTCCAGCTGGGGAAGGCAGGGGACAGATCATGAGGCGACTGCGGCCGCATGCCTGGCGGGCGGAGGAGGTCCTCGCGCTCGTCCTCGGGACGCCCCGCCTCCAGGCCCTCACCTGGTGCCAGTTCTGCATGGAGCGGTTGATCTTGGGGACCGAGCCCGGCTGCAGCTTATTCATGAGTCTGGGGCAGGGGACACACAGGGAACCTCCGTTAGCGCAGGGGAACCTCAGAGACGTGAGAGACTCGTTCTACACTTGGTCACACCCATGCCTTCCCTAGCAGCCTTGCTGCCTCTTCCCAGGCCTCAGTTTCCCCTCCTGCAACGTACGCTTCACCCGCAAGGAAGCAGGGACCCAGGACCATGGTGGCAGGTGTCAGTGCCACAGGTGGAGGCGGGGAAGCTGGGAATTCCCACTCCGCAGCGGAGCCTGGAGGGCCTCCCGCTCTGGGGAGGGCGGGAGGTAAAGGTGCTTGTGGTCAGTAACCCAAGAAAATGAAAGACAAGAAAGACCCGAGACCAGAGACCCATTGCAAGGAGAGGGCGCAGGCTTCCCGCCAGAGGTGCAGGGTGCCGGCAGGACGGGCAGCACCCAGCCCCCACCCAGCCCCCACACTCACGTGCACAGGATCACTCCATCTTTCAGACCCTTCTGGAAGTCGGGACCGATAGACAGGCCTGTGAGCCCCTCGATCCAGCCGCGGAGCTCTGCCTCCTTCTGGGGGTCATATTTGGACAGCAGCTGGAAGAGCAGAGGGCACAGGGCGGGGGTGAACCCAGGTGGGCCGCTGTGGACCCGGGGATCTCCCCGGCCGCGGCCCTCCCCCTCCCACCAGCGCGCAGACATTGGCCAGGGAAGACAGCAGTGGGGGCACGGGGTGGGAGTGGGGGGCTCCTGCTCCGGCTGCTTCCAGCTGCACCCCGTCCCCTGGAGAGGCTGCCTCTTCTCTGCTGTTTTTAGATTGTTGTGAGACACTCATGATGTTGACCATTTGCACCATTATCGAGTGAACAGCTCAGTGGTTTTTAGTACACTCACAATGTTGTGCAACCATCACCTTGGTCTAGTTCCAGAACATTCCATCAACCCAAAAGAAACCCTGTTCCCATCAAACATCACCCCCATCCCTCTCCCCAGCCCCTGTCACCTCTAACCTCCTTCCCGTCCACAGATGAGCCTGGTCTGGACGTGTCACACGCAGGGACTCACACCCTGTGTGGCCTCCCTGAGCGTTGTGGGCTCGGGGTCCGTCCCCAGGGCCGTGCATGGGGGCACCTCGCTCCTGCTGGTGGCTGAGGGACACTCCCGTGTGGGGGACCCGCTGTGTGTATCTGTTCATCCATGAATGGACATTTGTGTTGTTTTTACCTTTTGGCTATTGTGAGTAACACTTGTATGAACATCCATGCGTCAGGTTTTCAATCCTTGTGGGTGTGTATCTAGGAGTGGAATCACTGGGTCACAGGGTAACTCTATGTTTAACACACTGAGGAACCACCAAACCCGTCTCTGTCCCTTGAACTGACCATACCAGTTACTGCCACAGGGCCTTTGCACAAGCTGTCACCTCTGACTCAGATGTTTGCATGGCTGGGTCCCTCCCTTCAATCCACTCTCCAATCCAGCTTGAGGTTCCCCTCCTTGGAGAGGGCTTCCCTGACCACCCTGGCTATGAAGCCCTCCTCATACCCCTGTCTCCCCCTCCCTGCCTTGTGTTCCTTCTACTTTTATCTTTATACAATACGCCTCCTTGCTTAGGAGCTACCCCTTGAACTTTGCTTCCCAGCTCACTGCTGTCTCCACAGTCTCTGGATGGTGGGATAAAAATGCTCCCGGTTCCCCATCGGTGCACACCCAGTACCCACAAACACATACACACACTCTGTTCCCAATGGCAGCAGCTCAGGGCATCAAAGGGCAAAAGGGCCAGAGGCCCAGAGAAGCCGCAGTAAGTCAGGGAGACCCAGGCCGGGGTGTGGTGTGGGCAAAGGCAGTCAGCCCCAGCGTGGCTCCTGGAGTGCAGAGACAGGAAGCTGGGTCTGGTCCCCCTCCGGTTCCAGACTGTCCAGCTCAGGGGGCTTTCTGCTCTGGACCCACATAGATCCTGCCCTGGACACTTTCTCTTCCTGTCCCTCTGCCCCCACCAGGGGACTGGGACCCAGAGCCACCCTCTGCAGACCCAATTCCTCCTCTCAGCTCTGCTCCTAGCTCCCTTATGACCATGGACACATTCTCGCCCCGTGCCTCAGTTTCCCCATCTATGTTTGCCATTGTTTGCACAAGGGCCTCCTGAACCAGGCCCCTTCTGGGTCCTGAGTATAAACCCCATGGCAGCGTGGGATCGGGCCGCAGACACAAAGGCAGGGAGGCTGGTCTGCTAACTTGATCCTCCCTCCCCTCCCCCCTCCTCCTGGTTCCCACAGCCCAGCAGCCCTGCCCTGAAGAATGAGAAGCGCAGTGCAAGGGGGGCCGGCTGGTGTGGACGCCTGGCATACCTGCCCAGGGCCGTGCTGGGTCCCTAGTGGCTCCTGAGGGCGGGTTCCTGGGCCGAGGAGCCGGGCCAGCCCCGCCCGGAGCCCCCGCCTGCACACACCCGCCAACCCCCGCCCACTCCGTGTCCAGCGGCCTTCAGCACATTCCTCCTCACCGCAAACTGCCAGGAATGCAGGGGCTGCCTCCCTGCTAAATCGGGACCAGCTGTTCCCAGAGGTCTAGACCCCCCAGCCAGCCGGAAATGGAGTGACAGCTCAGGGACACAGTGGACATCAGCCTGCCTTCATGCCTACCAGCCAGGGGCAAACTGAGGCACACAGGGCCAGGGAGAGGTCTCCAGAGGTCTTAACTTCTTCCTAAGTAGCTGGTAAAGTGGGCGGGATGTGGGTTTCAAGCCCCAGGTTTCCAGTGCTGGTGCAGCCCGGGTGACGGGGGCAAGCTGGTCATTGCCTTCCCATTCCCCAGACCTGCAAACTGCAGGCCGGTCCCAGGGAGCCTTCTGCCCTCACCCCAGGCAGAGCAGGTCTCGGCACGCCCCATCTCACTCAGTCTGAGGAAGCTGCCCGCGAGCGCCCGCTGCCCTCCACTTCCTGCGGCCCGGGGGGAGACGAGGAGGGCTGCCCGCCAGGCCCTGCGGCCATCAGGTGCCCGGTCGGAGTCCCCACTCCGCCGCTCGCAAGCTGTGCGGTTCCGGGCGGCGGGTATGACACCTCAGCCCGGCTACAAACGCACGGGGCTCTTAAACCTCTGTGAGGTCGAGCAGGGCAGCAGGGCAGCACCTGCACCCGTCGCCCTGTGTACACGTTCACGCCATGCAGTTGGGGCTGGAGTGGAGAGGAGTGTGTTTAGGGAAGGTTCTGGATCTTGCTGGGTCACCCTTGGGCTTAGTTCCCCAAGCCTTGGCCGTCTTCCGTCTAAGAGGCTGGAGGGAGGCCCTGCGGTCTGCGACCCCCGGGGTGCCAGTGGGGCAGGTGCCTGCATGGGGCCGGCAGGGCCACACCTTCCACGTGCCCAGGCAGGCTCCCGGGGGGCTGCTGGCTCTGGGGCTGCATTCCCAGGTGGCCGGAAGGAGGCTGGATGGGGATGACAAACTCCCCTCCGGCTGGAAGGGCCTGGAGTGTGACCGGCCTGGGACATCTCCCTGGGTCTGGGAGCACCCCCTGCTCCCCCTTCCCTAGCACAGACCCTGCTGCGTGACCCTCCGCAAGTGTGTGCCCCTCTCTGAGACAGATCAGCAAGTGCTTTCTCAGAAGTGTCTGGCCCAGGCCCCACCCGTGTTTCTAGCTTGCAAACCCCACACCTTTTAGGATTACATTCAGGGGGCCCGGCACACCCCGTAGACCCCTTTACTGTTGCTTTAACTGTGTCAGATGGGGACAAAGAGAAGTTACCAGGGAGCAGCTGCGCCCCCCCCCTCCACCCCGCAGCCCAACTTCCCTCTCGGTGCCCTCCCCCCGCCAGGTGTTCGAGGTGGGGAAATTCCTGTGGGGGGGCACACCCTTTCCAAACAATGCGGGCCCCGCTTCCTTCCCCTCCTGAAGCTCAGTGGCCAGGGAATGCGGAGGGGGCCGCCGGGGTCCCCTCAGACCCTCGGGGTCAAGTCCTCGCCGCCCTGAAGGGGCCCGGCGCTGTGGCGCTGAGGGAGGGAGGGCGTTGGGATGGGGCATGGCTGGGGGAAGGGGTCAGACCCCGCCCGCCCCGGCTGTCGGAGGGAGCCGGACCGCAGACCTCACCGCCCGCGGGAGATGAGGGAGCCCGGGGCGGACGCCCCGAGCAGAGCGCACGGCGGTGGGGACGGAGAGGGCGGGGGTCGGGGTCGGGGTCAGGCCATTCTCCCGGGGCTCACGCCCGCCACCCGCCACGCGAAGGGGAGCCCGCCGGGGGTCCGGGCCGCGCGCCCCGCGGAGCCGCGACGGCCTCGCCCGGCGGACACGGCGCGCCCCGCACTCACCCGGTTCTTGACCTCGGCCGACAGCCCGTACGAGGGCCCCTTGTTGAACTGCGTGGAGCTCATGGTGGCGGCGGGACGCGGCGGGCCGGGCCGGGCCGGGGCGCCGGGGGGGACGCGCGGGGCCGGGCGCCCCGCCCCCGCCGCCCATTGGCCCCGGCGCGCATGTCCTTATAAGGCTGGGCCGCGCCGGGCTCCCGCGGCCGCCCCGACCCCCGCCCCGGACGCGCGCCCTGTCCCCGGGGCCCGGAGGGGCGCCTCGGCCCCGCGGCGCGGCCGGGCCACAGCGGCGCGGAGACGGGGCCAGGCAGTCCTGTCCTCTCCCTGCTGGCAGACGCGGGGCGGCTCCGGCCCCCTTCCCGCACCCTTCGGCGCCACGATGGGAAAGGTGTGCTGGGCGGGACCCTGCTCCCCTGGGGCTCGAATGGGGACCCCTCTCTGCCGCACGGAGACGCCTCCCGCTCTACCCCCTTCCTGGGAGCTCCCATAGCCCAGGGTGGACAGGGGACCTGGGGCAGGCTTCTCAAAGCAGGGGCCGCGGGAGCTGGGGCTTTGACGGAGGAGTAGGAGTTTGCCAGTCCAAAAGGGACGGTGCTCCTGGCAGAGCAAAGGGTGCGAAGCCCTGAAGAGACTGTCAGCGCTGAAAGCACGTAGAGCTCAATCAGACGGTCAGGGAAGGGGCGTTGGGAGGAGAAAGGGCTTTGAATCTCCCACCCTGGAACCACAGGCAACAAGGAGGCAGTAGAACAGGGACTCAAGGTCGAGGCGTCCTGGGGCTAGAGCGGAGGCTGTCCAGTCTTCCAAGCCAGGCACACACTTGCTGCTCAACAGGTGGTGTGTGCGAGTACAGATAAATCAATAAATTAATAAATAAATGACAGAATAAATGAATTTATTCGTTCAGTAATTCATTCATTCATCCACGGACACAACCACTCAGTGCTCTCTGATATCGCTTCCGGGTCAGTCCCTTGCTAGGAAATGCTGGTTGCAGACCTTAGCGCCAGCCCTTCCCGTTCCTGGAAAGACAGAGCCCGGCACACACTCCCACCCCTGTCCCACAGGAGCAAGTACAGGACACAAACAAGAGTCTGAAGGAGGGATGGAGGATGCTGGAGTGGACGTGGTGGCTCCACCAGAGGCGCCAAGGAAAGCTGCATATAAGAGGGGCGTGGGAAGTGGGGTTTTAAAGCATGAGTAGGAGTTTGACACATTTGACAAGCAGCTCACTGGGCTCTGTGAGGGCTCAGCAACGACTCACCCCTCCCCTGCCTCTTCCCTGAGAAGCACATCTCCCCAGTTCCGCACTCCCTAGATATCTGCTGCCTCTCTGCCGCTCATCGCCATTCCATCTCTCTGAAGATCTTTTCTTCAGGGTTCAAGTCCTAGCTGCTGGTCTTGGATGAGTCCCTTGGGCCTCAGTTTCCTTGTCTGTAAAACGAGGAAACAGCGCACAGCGGGGAGTCAACGATGAGCCGGTCTGGCTCTGAGTGCGGGATAGTGTGGTTTGTTGGGATCTAGGTGGGGAGCTGTGAGGGCGATAGGGTCCTGGAGCAGGGGGAGGAGCTGGGGGGCCGGCTAGACTCCTTGCGGGGTCTGCTGGGGCCTGGGAGTCAGCGGGACCCGTGGCACGGTGGAGAAGGGCAGCCTGTGGCAGTCAGCGGTCAAGGGTGGCCCCGGGCTCCTGCCCCAGCCTGTGGCGGTCAGTGGCTGCCAGCAGCGCGCCCGCAGATCTCCTTGCCACGCCCAGCCTCTGATGCTTGTCCAGGGAGCCTCCGTGGCTCTAGGGACACCACCTGCACTGGGAGGCTCTGGGACAGAGAGGCTGGTTGTGACACCTGCCTGTGCCCACTCAGGCAAGCATGTTCCCAGGGCAGTGGCTGCCTGTGTTCTGAGGCGGGGGCAGGGGTAGGCAGAGCTCCCCGCGCCCTGTCCATCAGGATGAGGGGGCAGCCGGCAGCTCTGCGGCCTCGACACCCCCCAGCGAGCCCTCCAAGAACATTGGTACGCCCGAGGGGGCCCAGGCTTCCCTTCATTAGATTTTAATTAACCCTGGCTTAAAGTCAAATTCAGATTTTGCAAAACCTCTGCGCACATTTGGAACATCTTGGGGATGTGTGTGTTTTCCCGTTCAGCGTAAGTTGTACACAGTCGAGCCGTGGAGGGGCATTTGCAGAGGCAGGAGCACAGGGACCCGGGTGCGCGGGGCCGCAGGGGGTGCGCAGGGCCGCCGGGTTTGCGAGGGCCGGTGCAGAACAAGGTAGAAATCGGTGCCTCGCGAACGTCTCCCGCGGACTGCGGCTGACAGCGGGCGGAAGCGGGTTCCCTCCCAGTTCTCACCACTTGGCTCAGAGTCCGCCATCGCACGCGGTCAGGGTCTGTCTGCACTGGCCAGTGCTGTTCTGGACCCGCGGCCACACCCAGATCCCCGGTGTGGTTTCGTCTTGTTTTGGGGGGATGGCCCTTGAGTTAATAACGCTTTTTTGTACGTTTTTAGGCCGTTGAAAAGAACCCTGCTCTGCGGCAGGTGGAAACACGTGAGTGCGGAGACAAAGCTTTGTGGGTTCGGCCGCACCCCTTCCACAGTCGCCTGGTGCTGCCAGGCTGACCAGGAGGACTTTTAGGCCTTTGACAGAAAACCCACCTGGGCTCTAGATGCTCAACCACCCAGAACCCAAGAAATCCAGACTCAGATGTCCCCAAACTCAAACTCCTGGGGCCTGGACGCTTAGGGTGTCACCATTTTCTAAACTCGGCCTGAGGACCTGCGATTTACGGGATGACATAATTCTGTATAACCCTAACCCTCAGCGCCCCCACTTGGAGCCCCACTTCAAATCCCGGACCCCCCCCCACGCCGGCTGTGGGATTTTATGCAGCAACGACACTTGGCCTCTCTGCGCCCCCTCGCCCCATCTGGAAAACTCCTCACAGCCCCTGGGTTTGCTGTCAGCATAAAGCGGGTTAATCTGTCGTGGTCCCAGCAGCACAGGGCGATCTGAGATAAGGGTCGTCCAGTCAACACAGGCAAATGTCTTAGGAACTTTGGCCTCCGTTGAAAACCTGGCAAGGAGATCTGGGTCTCTGCAGCTGCCCTCTGTCCGTGTCCCCCCGGGACTCACTCATCCCCCCAGGACTGAGCCCTGGGGAGACTGCGGGGCTCATGGGGAAGGGGATGTCAGTTGTCCAGGTACTCTGGGCTGGGACTTTGGTGATGCCTGTGGGTCAGGAGGCCACAGCTGGAGGACCTGGGGTGACAGGACCCCCCAGAGCCTCAGCCTTGCTAGGTTGGGGGCTGGGCCCGGGGTCTCAGTGGCTGGGCATGGGGACCACAGATGCGGCAAGGGCCCTTCCCCGCAGCCCCCTCCTGGGCAACCCCATCCCCTCAGTGTCTGAGCTCTCTGAGTGGGACCCTGGGGGATCAGGGTAGGACCCCAGGTGGGGCCCCCTTTGGGTGCCTCCTGGGGGGGCTCCCCTTGCTCTCTGCAAACAGTCATCTCAGGACATAAGCCTAGTGCAGACAACAGCAAAACAGTAATAGTATCAATAGCATCTGGGAGGAGGGAGAGGGGGTACTGTGAGCCCAGGTCAGGAGCCTCCCTGCTCAAAACGGGCCACGCTCCCAGCGGCCCCCTCAACGGAGATGTGCCCAGTGCCAGGTGACCTCTGCGGCGTGCCCACCCTCTCACTGTGCCCCAGGCCTGTCTCAGGTCCTTTGCCCTGGCTGTGACCTCTGCAGATGCCCCATCCTCCTGGCTCCTTCTCCACCCTCCCTCCTGTTCCAGGGTCAGCTTCTAGTGAGTCTTCCTGAACCCCCAATGAACTCTCAATCTGCCCAGGCCGGCTTCCTGCCCCCCGCCCCCAGCACGGCCCAGACACCCCCGCCAGCGGTGTCCACAGCACCCTGGGACACCTGCCCACGTTCTCACTTCCCGATTGTCCCCAGAAACGTCCTTCTCTAGCACTTTGGGTTGACACTTGGAGCTCTTCCTGGCCACTTTTCTTTCTTCGTGACAGCGGCTTTCCAAGGAGGCCAGCTGCTGGACGACTGCAGTCGGCTGGCCTCGCAGTGTGGATGCGCGGGGACGTGTCCCTTGCTTTGGTGGCCCTGAGTTCCTGCGACGTGGCAGTGAGCTCTAGGCGCGCCTCAGCCGCAGGTGCTCGCTTCCACACAAGGCACAGGAGTACACACGAACTGCGGCCTGCGTCGCGCCGGGGAACCCTGGCTGAGGCTGGGTCTGCTCTCCGGCTCCGACGACACCTGCCAGGCTCTTGTTGGGACGGTTTTCCTCCCTCTGCGCGGGACACGTGGCTCGGGCGTGAGGCAGTAATTCTGGCAGCGAGCACTCACGGAGCCGTGTGCCAGACCCAGTGCAGGGCACTCGGGGGAACGGAGAAGGAGCTCAGCCTCCTTCCGGGGGTGGAACAGGAGGACCCTGTCCGCGCGGCCGGCTCCGGGCATGCGGCTCCCGGGATCGCAGACCCGGATGGCGGATCTGGAAGGTTCTCTCCGCTTCCTGGGGGCAGCTGGAGCTTCCGGCATCCCTGGGCCCTCCCCGTACCCGGACTGTCGCAGAGACGCGCCTGCCCCGCGCGTGGGTGGAGGCTCTCGTCGGGGACCCGCGCGCGCACCAGTCTCCCGGCAGGTCCGCGCGCGCACGGAGCGCAGGAACCAGGCTCCCGGGGCCGCGGCCCCACTTCCGTCTCCCAGAGCGGGCTCGGGCCCCGGGCTCCCGGGAGCCGCCTTCCCCGTTGGCAGCAGGCCTGGTGTCCACTGTGCTTTGCCAGGGCAGCCGCTCGGGCGTCCTCACCCCGGCCCCCCGGCCCCCTCCGCCCGTCCTCCTCACTCCTGCCGTGGCGCGGGGCCCCCGGAACACAGCAGGCGCCCGGGAAGGCTCACCCCGGTGTTTCCGCGGCGCTCGGGAGGCCTCCGCAACGACTCCAGGGGGGCGCACGCGGAGCGCGCCCAGGCTGTGCGCCGCAGGGGCGGGAGGGCGGCGGGGGGGGCAGGCACACCTCGGCCCAGCGGCGGACGCGAGGAGGGGGGGCCTGCGGGGCAGCGACCGGGTCCACGCGGTTCGCACACCCGCCT